ATGGGTAAATCATGGATTAATGAATGAATTCCTGGGTGCAAGAGTGGCCGTGACGGCCGGCTGGATCGATGGATGTCACACAGATGGGTGGGCAGGTCACCGGGGATGAACAACCTGGTGAACAGGTGAACTGCAGCGTGCACAGGTGGACGGGTGGGCGAATCGGGGGATGGGACTGGGCTCGTGGGCCAATGACTCCGGAGCGAGCGTGGGCGACCCTGGCCAGCCGTCCCCCCGCAGCTGCCCATAGTGGCGTCGTCCGTCGTGTCCCTGTACTTCCTGGAGCTGACTGACCTCTTCAAGCCGGCCCAGGTGGGCTTCCAGTGCTACGACCGCACGCTCTCCATGCCCTATGTGGAGGCCAACGAGGAGCTCGTCCCGCTGCTCATGCTCCTGAGCCTGGCCTTTGCCGCTCCCGCGGCCTCGGTGAGTCCCAGCGCCCGGGGTCTGGGCCGCGGCGGGCGCCCGCCCCCTGGCGGCCGGGCTGAGCGCCTGCCTGTCGCAGATCATGCTGGGCGAGGGCCTGCTCTACTGCCTGCAGTCGCGGCTGTGGGGCCCCGGCGGGGCCGAGGGCAGCATCAGCGCCGGCGGCTGCAGCTTCAACGCCTTCCTGCGGCGCACCGTGCGCTTCGTGGGTGAGTCGCGGCCGGCGCCCCAGCCCTGCCCGGAGCCCGCACGCGGGTACCCCGCCTGGCCTGACCCTCCCTCCCGCAGGCGTCCACGTCTTCGGCCTGTGTGCCACGGCCCTGGTGACCGACGTCATCCAGCTGGCCACCGGCTACCACGCGCCCTTCTTCCTGACGGTCTGTGAGCCCAACTACACGCTGCTGGGCACGCCGTGCGAGGCCAACCCCTATGTCACGCAGGACATCTGCTCCGGCCACGACGCCCACGCCATCCTGTCTGCCCGGTGAGCCCACCCGGCCGCGGCCCGTGGAGCGTCCCGGGAAACTGAGGCTCGGAGGGTTCCCAGGCCCGCGGGGTCACTGGACGCCTCTTGCAGGAAGACCTTCCCGTCGCAGCACGCCACGCTGTCGGCCTTCGCTGCCGTCTACGTGTCGGTGAGTCCCAGCCGCCCCCGCCCTCCCCGGCCCTGCCCCCACCGGCCCCCGAGGATCCGCCACCCTGACCCGCCGGCCCCCCCAGATGTACTTCAACTCGGTCATCTCGGACACCACCAAGCTGGTCAAGCCCGTCCTGGTGTTCGCCTTCGCCATCGCTGCGGGCATCTGTGGCCTCACCCAGATCACCCAGCACCGCAGCCACCCTGGGGACGTCTACGCCGGCTTCCTCATCGGGGCCGGCATCGCCGCCTACCTGGTGAGGGGGCGCCACGCCGGGGCGCGGGGTAGGGGGGC